TTTGAGGAAAAGAGGATTGTTGACTCTTTCGATGAGTTCGGCGAAAGTTCCAAGGAAGTGGGGTAAACTAGACAAAATTGGTGGATTTGCCGCTTATGATCCCAATTTATTCCTACTCCACACTCGACGGCTTTTTGCAGAGAAAGCAGGTGGAATTGGATGCGCCGACTGGTCTCAGAATCAAGACTATCAAGAGAAACAGCCACGATTGTGAGGGTGACGATTGGGGTAGGAAGGGGTGAAGCTGCATTGGGAGATTGATGGTGGCGGGGGGCGAACCACTAAAGGGGGTCGCAAAACTTCTGGAAAATTGCGAACGCGACGGTGGACCCTGTTAACGAACTCTTTTCTCGCTAGGGGTGATACGACCACTGTCAGGCAATCATCGCCCGTGGTCTACTCTCCTGTTGGGTGTTTGAAAGAGAGGGAATTACTTCCAAGTCTTCCGAATGCAGTTACTTGCTTGAGCGATGTATTCATCGAGATGAATGGTGTTATTGTCATCCGAAGACGTTCCTGAAAATCTGCCCCACTGAGAAGTGAATAGGGTATATGTCCAATGGTATACGGATAAATGTAAACAGCTTGAATAAGTCAGAATGTACAATGGCTGCTGCTTCCTCTTGACTAGCAGAGACTTTGTTATTTTTCATCCGGCTTGTAGGGAACCAAACGCCCAGCGAGTTTTTAGCGCATTCCGAACCGCTGCGCTTGTTTCTAGCAAGCCCGTGCTGCTGCTACTGACACTCATTGATGCGTGCTGCAAATCAGTAAGTATAAATCTTAGACAGTATATGACAGGTATTTGTCTCCAAAGAGTATAATATCGTGTCTTTTTCATTCACATGCTAATGTATGTGGACGGAAGAGGGGCAGCGGCAAGTGGCGCTACTTAGACGTGCACGATTCTCTAGAAGCGAAAGTGTGCGCCACCCGGGCTGACCCTGGAGATGTAGAAGTAGGATTCTATGTATAAATCTAAGGTTGCTTAATTGATATTGGACCTGCCTTACAGGATAAAAAAATGACATGTATATCGGCTCGCTCGTCCTGCAACTCATTCTATAGGCCAAATTGCACTCACAGCGCCATAACTGTCCCGTTTGGCCGGGTCAGGCATGGAGCGCAGATGGATAATCTCCAAAGTTCTCTCTTCATAGAGCCTTGGCATCGTTGTTGAATTTAGTGTTTTCTTCTGCCAACGAGGTTTTTAGGTGACAAATTTATTACGGCCTGACGTTTCGACCCGATCGTCTTCCTCAAAGGCCAGTCTGCCACCGCGAGAGCGGAGCAAAGTCACTTTGGTTAGTGATGGTTTCAGTAACTGTTATTAACTAGAGTGGCGACTCTAGTTAGTGGCGATATTCCGCTCTCGCGGTGGCAGACTGGCCTTTGAGGAAAATGAGGCGCAGTGCTTTATGATTTTGAGAAGGTCACATCTTCGGAGGAATCGAGTAGAGCAAATTTTTGGAAACTTAGAAAACGATTTACAAAACCCAAGAGAAACTAGAAAAATTCTCGGAATTTTCGCAAAGTTAGATGTTTCAGTTACCCCTCTTCCAACGAAGAATTTCTGAAGTGCTACACTACTCTACCTCTTTAAGCTTTCTCCACGTTCAGTGCTGCGAACGCTCGAGTGCAGACAGCTAGTTAAAGGAATCTTGCGCGGAAAATTCTTGCACTCTTTCCTAACATGAATATGTCAGTTGTGATCACTGGAAATAGCACACAAAGTTTCACGCATGAAGATTCGGTTTCTGAAGAGAAACAAACGTACAAAAACTACACGTTATGGACCATCGAAGGACCAGGAGGCAGAGCCAGGCGAGGCATGGAAAGAAGACGGCGTTTGGCCGGCTACGTACCAGGCGACGCAATGAGAGAATCGGGTTAAGCGCGCGATTTCGGAGAGTGGAGACAAATCGATCGATGGAATAGGATGGAGTAGAAGTGTAAGATGTGAATGCAACGAAGCAGAAGGCCAGAAAGAGCTTCTAGTGAATGCACTCCAAGAACCAAGTTTGAGCATCCCCGTCGCCAGCATTCGTGAAACGTCCGTGGGCAATTCGAACGCGTAGCAGCCTTTTCGAGTTTTCGAATTTCTAATCAAAACGAAAGCAATACTTCAGTTCTTTTCACTATTATCGTGGATAATGAGTCTCAAGCCAGTGATTTATGGCTGAAATAGAATCATGATTTTTCCGCGCAAGATTCCTTTAACTTCCTTGAGTGTCTGAACGCAGGGGTGGAAGATCAGCTTGACATCAAATACACAAGAAGGGGGGGGGGATAAAGATCGAGTGTTGAGCTATGGTTTAGTTATTTACCATGTGGCAAAAGTGAAATTACAATAGTCATGAGCTTCTGCTCAAGCGAGAGAGCACGGTTCAGACTACCGGCTTTCTGGTCAGCAGGCGTGAACACTTACCAGGAAATGCTTTGAACTTCCCATGGAACTTTGGAAGGAGACCTAGATGACTCCATAGAGTCTTGAACGCTGATTACAAATATGGACATTAAAACTGCTACGTGAACTTTATAAGAAAGTTACGAGCATTCAAAGTTGGCAAAAAACGTTACTGAGGTAGGCTTACCTGATGGAATCACGCTCGCCGTGGCTCTGCGCTAAAAACGAGTATCAAATTCGTAATCAGGGCACCCACTAACCCTTATAGAACAAGAAACCAGACAAAAAGCATCCGTGATTTCATCAGGTGAGCTCGCCTCAGTAACGTTTTTTGCCAACTTTGAATGCTCGTAACTTTCTTATAAAGTTCACGTAGCAGTTTTAATGTCCATATTTGTACTCAGCGTCCGAAACTCTATCGATGTTCATAGGTCTCCTTTCAAAGTTCCATGGGAAGTCAAAAACATTTCCTGGTTAGGGGGTTGCGGGCAGATGGAAGTATTCGTGAGTGAGATAGGACCAGCACGTAGCGACGACACTACCGACATCATAGCAAACGGAGGTACGGAAGGGGGGAAGAGGTCGAATTAAAACCAGTCAGTAAAAAAACTTGCAGAGCCGACCAGTGTTCAAAGCAATGGGTTGATTCTGATAACGAAGCTCGGCCACAACTGATGGCGTCAAAATGGGATAAGCGCTCTCATAGAATTAAATGCGCGATTCTTACACCCTGTGAATCGTACAGACGTGCCCTTGTGCCACGCTACCTGCACTCGTTGAGGGAGATTGTGTGGCTTTTGTGAAAATCATAGGACGTTACGAGAAGTGATCTTGGAGTAGATCTCGATACCAGCATTTTTGGGAGTTACCCAAAAGGACAAATGCTCAAAACCGGAAAGAAAGAAGTGAGTATATCGAAGGAGGCTACGGGAACAGCTGGGTGAGTTTGCTGAGATTTTTGCTCGACACCGGAAAACGGGGCGCCATTTCAGTGGAACTATTTTGCTGTTTCCACGTGAGTGAACAAGAGGTGACAAAACATACCTCCATTTCACGACGATCCTCCGCACTTCTCCCTGGCCAGAATTCCACCGTGAACTGCCGGATGGAGCGTCTTCACCCGTCCACCCAGCATTTCCTTGAAATTTGGTAATCTCGGAGACATCTCTGAAAATTCAAGTAGGGAACGCTCATCTGCTAAACTATAATTGAAAGAAAGATAAAAGCTGGGGAAGTCAGTAATATGGTGCTAAGTCAAGTCCGGGGGTAGGAGGGGCACGCATACCGCCATGTCGCTTTCTTCGTCTGCGGTTCAAGGCTTCAAGGTTAGTCTGCGATGCCGTTGCCTTAAGCAACTGCCACGCTGCGTCAAAAATAACGGACCTTAGGACCAAGAGAGGCGCAAAGAGCACTACGCCACCGAGTGGCACCCTCAACTCATTATAAATGTAATATTTTGTTTCATGAACTGACAATTGTTCAAGCAACACCAACCGATATGGTGTCTAGCAGTCAAAACGTTGCTTCAAAGATATCACACTCATTTTTCGCAGCCGAGCAAGCCGTAAATGCAGAATTCACAACACATGGCATCAGGTTTCTGGATCCAGCAAGCCCCGGCGCGAATGAGTCTAAATCTGCATCTTTGGACACACCTCCTATTCTTGACCGTGAGGACCACAGCATTGACCGGAGTAGAAACGCAGAATTTTGAGGACCCATCCAAGGCCGGGGCTTGCTGCGCCCGGCCCCAGACGTGATCAAGGGCACGGATATCGGTTTTTTCTAGCAATAAGTCACTGCACTGATACTGCAATGACGGCATGGCTGGGCTTGGAAAACGAGACAAAAAACTTTCTTCGCGTAGTTCTAAGTTTTCAACACGAAAAGATAAGAAATCACGCCAAGAAAATCAAACCCTTCAGGGTCCGCCATGCACTGCACACTCCACATTAATTCAGAGGGCAGTAGAGGCATTTCGTATGAGTGCATAGATTGCACAACGAAGTATACGCCAGACGATGCCTACGTCATTGTTCACTCCCTAACGTTTTGGTACCAATTTTCTGATTTTGGAAGTGGAGGTTTTTTTTGGCTTAAGCGGGATCTGATGCTGTGGATTTCATCACCTGGTGAACAGTAGCCTCACCAAAAATTGCTTCAGCCCTCGAGCTATGTAGGTGGTATGAAAGCCATGTGCCCTGCTGTAATTCGAGCTCAACAAAAAAAAGATGTCGCGTTTATACTTTACTTTCTTGATACTTTTCTAGAACTAGAGGAATTAGCAACGTCTTGCGCTTCTGACATTGTATTGTGTGTGTTTGTAAAAGCTGGGACATTCAAGTCCAATATTTGTAAGGTCATGAAAATAGTGAAGAATAGGAAGAAGCCTACTTCACTGGCAACCCATGTTCTCGTAAGGTTACGGCAGTACCACCGGATGCCACAAGAGTGAGGCCGGCTGTGTGCAGTCCATCTGCCAGCTCGCATATTCCGGTCTTATCCCATACGGATAGGAATGGCTGAAATAGCAAATCATTTCTTACAAGTACCGGTCTACTCAGACAATCCAGTGACAGTTTTTTGTTTGCTAGAGCTTATTGACACCGCTTCATTTGAAACCTCAAAAATACTAGTAGCCCTTTTTGGATTGTACGCAAAACACTTACGTTTGTCAGCAAAATCTCGATTCAAAACATGTTCCAATATTCTAAAAAAAAAAACAACAACTCGTCAGTATGGACTACCTCAACCCATGGCTAACACTTCTCCTCCCCTACCTCGGAAACTATCAAGCCTGCTGCGTCATAAAGGCCCGAGTCGCGATCGAAATGCTGTGTTTTATGTTTGAAATTTTGGCATTGCAAGAGGAACTTCAATGAGGAGAACAAGCAGACAGCGCCATATAAAACACTGAAATCTCGCTTGTGAGGTAGGTTACGTTACGAGAGAGGCGCAACGCTGCGAAGAGAAGGGAAACGCGAGAAAGCAGGTCGTACGGAGAGGGCGCAAGCACCACATTTGCCGCAATTGATAAGGATGGCAACATCGGGCATGCACGCAGGCAGGCCTTACGCCGTTGCGTCGCAATTGAGTGGCGATCGACCGCCTTTTGTGTCTTGCGACGGGGTCTTCTCATCTGGGTAGGATTTGGCTCTTGAGTAACTTAATGGCGACCTATGCCGTTTATTTGTGCTGCACGTAATATGGGATAGCTCGGGTGTCAGGAATCGCATGTCTTATTGCAGGAGAGCCTAAGGGGTGTAGTGCCAGTGGTGCAGAGTCGATAAATCCTTTAAGCAACCAAGAAACGGGACCTACTTGTTGCCGCTGGATTTTTGACCATAAACGAGGACAGCTAGGAGGGAGGTTCCGAAGTGTCAAAGGAATCCTTTACGGAAAAATCATGATTCTACCTCACCCATAAATCACTGACTTGTCGTATAACTTCGTCGTCCCAGATGACGAACGAAAAGAAAAAACTGCTGACGACTTCAGGAACTTAGTCCTCGCTTCTCTAATCGTCCTGCTCTAGCCATCGCGGCAGACCGAGTTGAGGAAAAACAAGGGCAGGTCCCGTAGACCGGGCGCAACCGGCGTTAAAATCACCCGAACATCGGTCACAGAGCTGGCGTGGAGTCGCTTTGCAGCGTTGTTTAACGAGGTTCTTGTCGGCTAGGACCGCTCATGTGTTGGGACGCTGTTGATGCATTAGTGGTACTGTCATTCTTCATCGATCGTTCTAGCGCATATTTCATAGCGCAGTTTGGATCCGCACCGCTCGCGCGACACGCTACGACAACTGGGAGCGCCAGGTTTTCGCCGCTAAGCAATAACCTGCTTTTTGTCAAACTGCTGGGCGGTCTGCAATAAGGTTGCCCATTTTGGCTGAATCTCACTGTTTTGATAAGCGCAGTGAAGTGCACAGCTAAAGTGATGTATGTAAACAACCACCATGCATCGAGTATCGAGGTAATTTAGCGGTCGAATAATTTTTGATGATCTCAAATTAGAATGCCCAGTATTCACTATCGTATTTATTCGAGCGGCCGCAATTCAATCCTAATCAGAACGTCTGAAAGTGATTTCACGAGCGACAACACTCATGACATGGTTATCGAAATGACCAATGCACTATCTTCTAATAGAATCTGGTTCAAAGTGCGGCGTCTCACGTTCGTACGAGGTGGCGCTCTCTTACTCGGTCAGTCTTTATCATGTCGATTTACTTTCTGATCCCTCGACCGAATAATGTCCCCTCGGGGCACCAGTCTCCATCATACTGTAAAATACAGCGCCTGCTCGATATGGCGTGGTTAACTGCATGGCCGGACGCATAGTCGGTCGGACGACAGCAACGACTGCAAGTGTCGCACAGCATTGGATGCGTATCGATCGTCGGACTTGCCTGAGTATTCGACGATTAGATGCAGTTAGACAGTCAGACAGTTGCGATCGTTGCTGTCGGACGACCGACTATGCGTGCGCCCCACTAAGACGCGCGCTAGCAGAAATTTCGTTATAAACTTTGCCGGTTCAAGCGCCTCTTTATCAAGCCTCTTATCAATCGTTATTACTTTCTGGCCCCCCATCAAATATGTTTCCTGCCGTCCCACCTGCTGCATCATAATCCCAACATCAGCTCTCTGACCGACCTGCTGCGATGCGTGTTTACGTGAAGTTTGTGAGACACACCCACCAACAGACGACAATCGGTGTTTGATATTAGTGAGGATCTGTTGGTTTTTTTGTATCTATGCTTCAAGAACGCTTCAAAACTGGGATTCTTTCGTTTGCGTCGCCTGATGCGTAGCCGCCCCCAAGGCGCACTTCTTTCCATGCGATTCTGCCCGACCTCTTTCGACCGTCTGTAGCGTGTGGTTCTCGTGAGCTTGTTCTTTAGGAAACCGAAATTCGTGAAAATTTGTGTGGTCTCTGTGACGGTAAGGCAAACTCCGCCCTTTCTGGTAGTTTTGGCTGGGACGCCGAGAATGTTGGGGGAGGGATGGAGTCCCCGAACGCTGGCCGGACCACGCTTCAACTCGGTCCTTACAGGAGAAGGTCTTCCAGGGCGTGACAAGCTTTTTGAAAACAGTCTTTTGCATGATATAGGGGCAGATGCGGGAACCACAGAACCATGTTCAATTTTTCCTGAACGGCCCTCTGAATACCAGAAAAGGAGGTCCCTAGTTCGATTCCTCGTGGTAACAAATTTTTGCATTTCGAGTTGACGTGCCAAAATTCGCGCAAAATGGAGTTAGAACCAACCAGAACAATCAGAACTCCATTTTGCGCGAATTTTGGAACGTCAACTCGAAATGCAAAAATTTGTCACCAAGAGGAATCGAACTAGGGACCCCCTTTTCTGGTATTCAGAGGGCCGTTCAGGAAAAATTAAACATGGTTCTGTGGTCCCCGCATCTGCCCCTATATCATGCAAAAGACCGTTTTCAAAAAAGCTCGTCACGCCCTGAAAGACCTTCCTGGTTAGAGCCGGCCACAATTTGCTACCTCAGAACTAAGCCTTAAAGAGAGGACGGGTCCGTCCCCTCTCCAAGGCTTAGTCCTGGGGTGAGCAAACCAGCCCTTCTGGCGGAGCTGCTGGACCAGCTGCACCACTTGCGTCATTACTCTCCTACCGTACCGACCGAGTTCAAGTAGTCCGTCGACCTCGGGACCCCATCCCTCCCCAACATTCAGCATACGGCCCCAGCAGAAACGCCAAAAGGGCTGGTTTGCTTACGCTCGTCTCTAGTGATCACAACTGAATTATGCGTGTCGGGAAAGAATGCAAAGCTTTTTCGGGAAGATTCCTTCAACACCGACAGCTCTCGCCGTGCCAGCAAACACAATACTTTGATTAACAAAGCATAGGCATGAATTGGCAGGTTGGACAATACGGCCAGTAAAAGTGAAATGCGCAAAATGAAAGTGAAGAAACACAGCTCTCCCAACCCACCAACAGCTAGTGGGCGCGGCGGTTCTTGGGCGTCACGGTTCCCAACTCTGGCCACGCTGCACTTCAACTGGTTCACCCTTCTCCGAGAAAACGTCACTCCCTTCCTTGGCACCTTGGCCACTGCTTCCAGTGACGCATATGCTCTCTCGATGCGCACCCACCTTAATGCAACCAAACCCTTTCGTCGGAGTTTACGATGAAAAACAGCTCAACATAGAACAGAAAGAAAGCGGGAGGTGATGATTGGTAATTCTTTTTCTTAATCTAGCGTTTGTCGCCGCTCGCAGGGCGGAGTCGCTTTAGAGGTGGTGAGGGTACAGAGTAAGGAAAGAAAAAACTAGAAACGGTCCAGAACTCGTGAAATAGGACCTTTCTTTGCCCGTTGATTTCTGCTTTGGAGCGGCTGACATATCGATGCTGAACTTTTCAACGCTGACGCTCTTTTTGCTAAACAAATAGTCAGACGGCGAGGGGTTGCCGATCGGAGGGGGGGGGGCGTGCACTGGCGCGAGCGCCGCGGGTACAGTCCCAATGGGCCACCGGGAGCATACTCACCGCCGCGAAACGCGCATCCTCCCGCTAGAAAACCCATCGGCTTTTCGACCAATGTGAGTACAACTCTCGTTCTTCGGCCTCCAATCTTATCGTGGAGTGCTTCTCACCTACAGCGAATTCGTTATCTAACTATTGGGCGATGGCTCCATGACATGACTGACGAAGAAACGATTTTTGTTGGGATTCTTAGTAAAAACAAATTCATGTTCATCTAAGGCAGATACAGTCTAAGACCTAGTCCACAACACTCTCTGAACAAAAACGGTCAACTTCAAGTGAGACGTGCAATCGATCCTATTTTAAAGTGAACAAATCGATCAATTGAAAGCCGTCATGGTGACTCACCGAGTCTTTCTTCAGCCATTTTAGATTTCTCTGAAAAAGGAAAATACGAAATCAATGGCAAGTGTTTATTGGAAGGGGAATTCTAATCGGCAAGTTATTTAGTATGATAAAGCAAACCAGTACACGAGAATAGTGACATCAGTCCACCGAAATGTAAGTACGAGAGTCGCAACGATTAGGCAATGATCAACGAATAACTTACTATACAATATGTACTACAAGGATAAACTAAGATGACATAAGTATCCACAAACTGCTGCTGCTGACCATCGGCACAGCAGCGCTGTTCCAAATGCCTTACACTTAAGAGCCATAGTAACGGTCAATCACACTATTTTTACATTCTTTTAGGATCAGGTTTTTAGCACACCGGGTCATGTCAGACAGCCGGTTTCGGCTTGAGAAATTGGAAAATCTAGATAGATGAACAAAACACGAAAGGCATAAAACTAATAAAACATCTAATAAAAATAGAAGTGACGACGAAGAAGTTGCAGGCTGAAACCAATCGCTGACAAATCGAATGCGGTGGGAAGGTTTGCGTACGATTAGCGCTACGAACATATTGATATCAACTTTGACCCCAACGCCCACGATTGACCCTAGTGCAGGAGAATGGGTCAAGTGTAAGTATACAGCGAAACTCAAGATCATCTAGAAGCGAGTCATAGATTTGGCAACAAACTATAAATCTAGGTGCTAAGAGGGTTGGGGAGGACCACGCGGCGGCGTGGCATTCTGCTCGCTTGGGCTCTCGCAAGCGAGATAGTGTGAAACTCGAACTTTCCTACTTTTCACGCATGTCAAGTGACTGCTCCCACCCCCACCCCCCTAGACTGCCTACACTCCCCCTGGCCCACGGATTTCCGAACATGCAGGTGCGGCGTCGCCGCGTGCCCCCCCCCCCCCAACCTATTTAGCACTAATCAGGGTCATCGCAGCCGTCGTTGCGACTAGTCAAACGAGGTGGTGGGGGAGGTGGGTACGTTTAATGTTGGCAGTAAGGGAAAGGGATGCGTGTTACAATCGATAATATACCCCCCCCGACGGCAATTTTGGTGGGAAAAGTGGGCGGAGTTGGGCTGTGTCAGAATCAAAATACTATAGAATCCCCCATGATGGCGATGGCAGGCGAGGGTGGTGGAGGATGGTCGTGAAGGGTTAACCCTGAGGGGGTCGTATCGAGGCCCTCTAGAAGGGGGGAGGGGGTCGTAAAATTTTCGAAATTGGTCCAACGTGACGGTTGACCCTGCCTAAATCCAATTCTTCGAAGTGGATATCATTGTATAATACATTTCTGTTGACTAGTATCTAAAAGCACACGATACTCCACAGAAGGACCAAAAACAAAAGCGAATTATTCGAGCTGTCCAATAGGTGCATTCTGCAGCCAAAGTGAATGCAAAAAATCGTACAATTTCTCCGATACCGACACCTGAACACAACAGATCGACACTTCGGAGAGCAGAAATCGAAAATCTCGAACCTTATACGGAGTCGGATTAAGGTAACGCCGATGATCCTTCCGTAGAGCGTCCAACGAGGTATTCACCCGAGCCTAGAGTTGTAGTAATAGTTAAGTATTATAACAGAATAACTGTGAAACAAATCGATTCTTCCAATAAAGTTGAGCCAACCTTGATAGTTTTCAGGTCGGGTAGCTCCTTTGTTATTTTGCCATCACACCAGAACACTTCGTGTAAAGGTTCGATACGACTCGCCACAACTAGAGCTCTTTTCGATTCCTAAACATCACAATAAACGATTCAAAGGCAATTTATTACAGAACCAGTTGGCACCGCACGCTGTTGCCCGCACAACCGCAGGGTCAACCGTTACGTTGGACCGATGTTGACCGCTCTCCGCGCCGGCATTCACTCTCGCCACCCGCGAGCCGTCTGTGTCTCCGTGCGTACGTTCACTCTCGGCATTACTCTCACACGTAGAGAGCCATGCGTTGGACTTTGTCCAACGGACGGTTGACCCTGCTCAGTTCTTCGACGAAATGGAGTGGTCCGGTTTAATCTCGAATTTGGCCGATACACTACGAATATTTGACTTTCAGAGATTCTATCCGCTTGTCCCATGCTCCATCCACCGATGGCTTTTGACCTTCCCTCCTTCGTCAACCATTGTCCGCTTTTTCCGGCCTCGGACTGCCTCTGGACCGATTTATAAATCTCGTGGTAAACTCCGCCTATTTCTTTGCATGTCCCACCTATCTTTTTCTTCCTCGCCAACCTCTCCCCACTTTTTCTCTGATCTCTGAGCCGATTTATAATTTTGGCGGCGAATCCTGCTTTCTTGGTGTATCCTCCGCACACCACTAGAAATTCACTTCCTCCCTTCCGTCCACTTTTTTCCCCAATCTCTGGAACTCTCTGGAACTTCCCACAACCAATATTATGAAGTTTGGCAAACTCCGCCCACTTGGGTGCGTGCCCGCCCACCAATAGCAGTTGACCTCCTTTCCTTCGCCGACCTCTACCCCTTTTTTCCCGGTCCTCCTGGACTTCTTGGAACCGAGTTATGAATTTTCGTCGCAAACTCCGCCCACTTTGTGCAAGCCCCGCCCACCGATACATTTTTAACTCTGTTCAGAAGTCGAACTCGACAGCTTTTTCCCGGTCTCCATGACTTCTTGAGGACCGAATTATGAAGTTTCGTGAATAACTCCATTGTGGGCGGCCTCCGCCACGTCATGTATGCTGGAAACACCTTAGACATTGCTCCCTACACCAATTTGTTTTCTGCTCTGTAGGCTTTCTCCCAACCGAGTTATGAAATTTTTCATAAAGCACTGCTTTTTTAGAACGCCCCGCCCACCGGGGGTGGGTCTCCCTAATTCGATCTGACTTACCAATGCA